GCTCCAAGAACTGTGGAACCGTGGCTATGACTGGGATGAGGAGGTTCAGGACGAAGTGGCTAATCGTCTTCAGGTCTGGTTCTCACAGCTGTCATGCCTAGAAAAGGTCAAGATTCCACGGTGTCTGCAAAACCAGCAACCAGTCAAGTCGAAGGAGGTGGTGACCTTTGTTGATGCCTCAACACAGGCCTATGGAGCTGCCTCCTACTTACGCTGCGAGTATGAAGATGGTACCGTGTCCGCACAGCTGATAGCCTCTAAGAGTAAGGTTGCCCCGCTTACCCCCATGACCGTGCCAAGGCTGGAATTAATGGGAGCCATAGTGGGTTTAAGGTTAACCCAGTCCGTGTCCAGAGTCCTGGAACTACCCGTGAAAGCAGCGTCGTTATTTTCCGACAGTACAGACGTGCTATGGTGGATTCGTGGAAGAGGCCGAGACTTTCGACCCTTTGTGTTAAACCGTATTGGGGAGATACAGATTAGTACTGAACCGGTACAGTGGCAACATGTCTCCACCGACAAAAATCCTGCAGACCTGTGTTCCCGAGGAACGAGCCCAGCTGAGCTTGCTAAATCCGAACTATGGTGGAATGGCCCGGAATGGCTGATGAAGGAGAAAAGTGAGTGGCCTAAGATGGAGTTAGCCGAAAGCCCGAAAGTGATGCCCGAAATGAAGTCGACAACAAAACAGCAACAGGGTTCTACCACCCTTGTGACAGTGCAAGAAAACCAAGCTCAGAGGGACAAGCCAAGTCAGGGTGGCAGTGTTCCAGTCTGGAGATTGAACCCGAAACGCTTCTCAAGTTGGAGCCGACTGGTGAACCTACATGCTAGAGTAAGGAGGGCGCTCCACAACATGTCGAAGAGGGGTCCGCGACAGACCAGCAAAGCATTGTCACCGTGTGAAATAAGAGAAGCTGAGGCAGAGGTGGTGCAATCCTGTCAGCGCGAAGCATTCCCTGACGAATACAAAGCTCTAGTGACCGGGAGACCAATACTGACCAAGAGCCGACTAATGAAGTTGAATCCTGTGTTAGATGAAGAAGGCTGTATCCGTTCAAATGGAAGACTCCAGTTCGCAGAGTACCTGCCTTACGATGTGCGATTTCCAATGATACTGCCTGGAGGACATTGTGTCACGAAGCTCATTGTCAAGCATTATCATGAACAGGCTAACCATACAGCAGGAACCAACTTTGTCTTGTCCCAAATCAACCAGAAGTTTTGGATCATTGCAGCCCGGGAAGAGATCCGAGAGTGGGAGCGAGAGTGCAACATGTGCAAACGAATGCAGAGCAAGACCGCTACACAGATCATGGCACCGATTCCAGGGATCCGTCTTCGCTTTACCTTCCGTCCCTTTGACCAAACAGCCGTTGACTATGCTGGCCCCTTTACAACCGTATAAGGACGAGGTGTGCGCCGACAGAAGAGGTGGCTGTGTTTGTTTACTTGTCTGTCAACCCGTGCGGTCCATTTGGAGGTGGCTTTTGGTTTGGACACCGACAGTTTTCTGAATGCCTTTACACGCTTTACAAGCAGACGGGGAGCGCCAAAGGAAATGATAAGCGACTGTGGGACCAATTTTGTTGGAGCCGTCAACGAACTAAAAGAACTGATCAGTAAGCTGGACCAGGACAAGATTCAGCAAATCACAGCCAATCGAGGTGTAACATGGAGATTCAACCCCCCCGGGGCACCACACTTTGGTAGCATTCACGAGGCCATGATAAAGTCGGCCAAGAAAGCTATTTACGGAGTAATCGGAACGAGTGACGTAACTGATGAAGAGTTAATTACCGCAGTGACTGGAGTGGAAGGACTGCTCAATGCACGACCGCTCGCCTACCAGTCAGCCAACCCCCAGGACATTGTACCGCTGACTCCAAACCACTTCTTACACGGACAGTTGGGCGGTCAATTCGCACCTGAAACCGTTGATACCACCGAGTTCAGTCCACGAAAACGTTGGCGAAAGGTCCAGGAGATAATTTCCCAAGTCTGGAGGAGGTGGCTACAAGAGTACCTTCCTTTGTTAAGCAGAAGGCCAAAGTGGACCGAAGTGGTCAAGGATCTGAAGGTGGATGATGTTGTTCTCGTCCTGGATTCTAAACTGCCAAGAGGACGATGGCCTCTAGGACGCATCATCGAAACTTATACAGGAAGGGATGGCCACATCAGAGTCGCTAAGATCCAATGTGGCGCAAGCACCATCGTTAGACCAATTCATAAACTGGTGCCCTTGCACGAAAGTTAGAACACTGAACATTTCTCGTTGTTATAGTTTTCTGTTTCAATCTTTTATCGAACAATCACACTGATCCTTACCTCCCAGTGTGGGGAGGGGGAAATGGACAAAAGACATTTCGAGTCTCGCGTCACGCAATCGCACGCGTGAGTTTTTAGTGATCAGATTTCATTTTTTTGATTGACAGTTACTCTGATTTTGTAATTCACACGCGGTCGGGTTTTTGTTGTTGTCATGAGTTGTTATCAGAACATGTAAGTTTTAGGAGCCGTAAAATTAAAACCGTGAGTTTATTTAACCGACGAGATATCGTTTGTTGTCTTCGCAACAAATTTTAGTTTCCAAGCCGTTTCAACGAGGTCCGTAGGATAGTTTGGTCTTTAAGGCGACCGACCGAGTTTTTTTAGTTGTCTTTCTTTCTACTAGACAAAGGTAACACCTTAGTTTATAGCACAACAAAAAACTAGCGTAGTTGGTATAGCTCACTGGGCACTAGTCATGTTCATGCGAGGAGTATAATGTAGGAGTAGAGAGGTAAGCAGAAAACATGATAATAGACACTATACCATCCTAATTGACCACTCCAGAAAATACCATAACATACCATAATGCTCTTTGTTTGTCACCCCAAATTTTGCATAAGCATTGTTTTCAGTTTCTCTTGGGGCCATTTTAACTCCCAAGAGAAACCTAAGACAATGTTTATGCAAAATTTTGGAGTGACAAACAAAGAGCATTATGGTATGTCATGGTATTTCTGGAGTGGTCAATTATTTGTTAAGAGAGAGTCTCCCTAAAACCAGTCCACTGCGTTTCAGGTCCGAAAATCAGTTTCCTTCAAACTTTGCCCATGAATTTATCTTGGTCCAAAGGTAATTGAAACCGCATTAGTTTTTGGAAATATTTCAAAATAAAATTTTTCTGGAAGAAAATCAGTTTAGCGCCCGGTGGCCAAATGTTTGCAGTATGAGGACCCGCATACCATTTTTTTTTTGCCCACTGCAATTGAGGACGCTAGGTTTTAAGGGACGGACCATTAGAAAAATGTTATTTCTGACGAATGAGCCCGCGAAGAAGGCAGAAATAAATATTTTGACGGCACGAGATACAACAGGGCCTGGGTACTAGGCCGGGTGCACCATGGGTAGCCATATCGGGGGTATATAAGGCTGCGTATATCACGTGTTCGTCATCTAGGCTTACGAACCAACCTCTCCTTGGTTTTTCTTAAATTTTTGTTTTATTTATTTTTAGGAGCAACATATTCTCGATTACATTGTTAAGTCCCGTAGGAAGGGCTTTGAGCTTGAGCCTTGGTTCCTACCCAGATTTCCTGCCCGCATTTTTTCCCTTCGGGGTTTTTTTGGGCAGGTTTTTTCTGGCCTCCGTCTGACCGCTTTTACTTCAGTTTGTAAGCGGTAGCTCAGCTCTGCTAGTTTTCAGCCTTTTTCCCGTTTCTTATTTTATGTACTTGTACACTAGTTATCTCAGTTTTGCACCTGCTCCTTTACTTGATATATTTAGTTTCCATGTATGCTTAGGTCAGCTGTCCCGGAACCGCTCTTTAGAAGGCGACGTAAGTCTCGTTTGACGCAGTTAGGTTGCAGGTAATGTTACAGACCTCTAGCTAGGGTCGTTATTCATTGTTTACCCTCAATGTCCCGCCCTAGCCTTTTATGGCAGTCTTACTGGTTATTGGGCTACGTGCCTTGTTGGGTACATTAGTGGAGATAATTCCCAGTTTTCCTGGCACTCAGCCTCTGTGCTCCTGAAGTGTTCCCGGTCCTAGTTATACGTTGATCACAGTTTTATTAAATTTCCCCGGCCTAACTGGCACTAAGCCTGCGTGCTTATTTGGGGATTCAGGTCGAGATCGACCAGTTGTGCCAGTTTTTTTCTTTTTGCTTAGCCTCTGTGCTCCTACCGTGTTCCTCGTGCCAGTTATGCGTTGTCTGAGTTTTATTAATTAGTTTCTCCAGCCTAACTGGCAGCCTAACTGGCACTAAGCCTGTGTGCTTATTTGGGGATTCAGGTCGAGATCGACCAGTTTTAGCAGTTTTTTTTTTTCCCCAGCCTTAGCCTCTGTGCTCCTACCGTGTTCCTCGCGCCAGTTATGCGTTGTCTGAGTTTTATTAATTAGTTTCCCCAGCCTAACTGGCAGCCTAACTGACACTAAGCCTGTGTGCTTATTTGGGGATTCAGGTCGAGATCGACCAGTTGTGAGGAGTTTTTTTTTTTTGTTTAGCCTCTGTGCTACTACCGTGTTCCGTGTGCCAGTTATGCGTTGTCTGAGTTTTATTAATTAGTTTCCCCAGAATGACTGGCAGCCTACCTGGCACTAAGCCTGCCTGCTTAAATGGGAGATTCAGGTCAAGAGCGACCATTTGTCGCACGAGTTTTATCTTTTTGTGAAAGCTAGTTTACAAGTGTTGTACATTAGGTATTCACCAGTATTCACCTATTATTGTATTTACATAAATACTTTGTAGGGTTGGTTCTCGCCAAGCCGTCCCAAAATAAACTTATTTGCCATTACGTTTTGTCTGTTGATGTTGTGTAGTGGAGTCAAAATGTTATGGGGGTGGGAGGGGGAATTTCCAGCCGCAGGAATTTTTTTTTTGTTATCAAATTCCTTGTATGAATTTTGAGACCGAATGCAAATATGGCGGACCACTCGGGCGGACCGGGCCGAGTTGCGCGAAGTCGAGGCTAGTTAGGCCACGGCTTTTCCCTGATGTTTTGGTTGTCACGAATGGCTGCACGTGTACCAACCCAGGACGATATCCCGGGAGCTTCTCTCGCTGGAAGAGAGCCCCAGGCATTAAAATGCGAAGAACTTCGTTTTTGGCTGAGATGTAGAGGCGATTCTTTGAAGGGATTGAAAACAAAGGCGGCGCTAGTGAAGAGGTAAGGCGCAAGATCGCTTCGTGTTTCGCTATGACTTGTCAAAATATTACACCTATACATGTGAAAAATCGGATTTTACGAGCTAAAAGTAGTTTTCTTTTCGCTTTTAAAGGGTGGAAGAGTATATCAGAACTGGCCGAGACCAAAATATAGTTGATCCTGATCCTCACAATGTATATACAAAGCGCAAAGAACACCGAACCGCGAGTGAAGACAACATTTCAGCTGCTGTTAATGCACCGCAACCAAACTACCCTTCGGATGGCTGGTCTGGCGATTTAAAACGAATGCCTTTTTTCACGCGTGCCGAGATGAACTATCATATCGCAAAGTCAGGGAAAAACATTGATTCAAGCAAAAGTCACTCAGTACCGACTAGTGTGCGAAAAGCTACAACGTTTTTGAACGACGAATATTTAAAGAACTTGTCAGCAGCAAGCGATAATACTTATTTCTATTTGCGCTGTCAGTGCCATCACAGCTTTAGAAAAAATGATCCTCCCCACAACTTAAAAGTTGCATTGTGCATTTTTAGTGGAGAGGTCAAGAATGCCTCTTGCTCTTGTGTTGCTGGCCAGGTCGGGTTTTGCAACCATATTTTGGCTCTTTTGTTAAAATTATGCAAGTTTTCATTGTATGAGTGTAAAAGTGTGACTGATCTTGAAAACGAAGACGATATGCAGCCAAAACGGAGCTGCACATCAACTCTGCAGCGGTGGCGTCGAAAGGGAAGAGGAGACTGTATAAATCCACAACCAGTGATGGAAGTGTTGGTGACCAAAACAAGCTTAGAGTTAGACAAACAATCATCATCCAGAGACTCTGGTGTGAAATGTCTTTTGTATGAGGCCCGAAATAGCCTTAAGGGTCAGCATAGCCTCCCACGCAGGCGTTTTCAGGGGAGCTCGTTTTTCTTCCCTCCCCATGGGAGGGAAGAAATACGAGCTCCCCTAAAAACGCCTGCGTGGGAGGCTAGGGTCAGCAGGCATCTGAAACAAAATTATTGGAACGGTTAAGAGCGCTTAACCCTAAAATGGCTTTATCACAAATTATGACTGCAAGAACTGAGTCAACTACACTCGTCCCGACAAAATTTGGAAAACGTCCTCAAGGATCCTTTGCCAGTTACCAACTATCCGTTACTGAAGATAACTTTAAAGTGTTTTGTGACATTTCATCTGTCAACAGGTCAGATTCAGACAATCATGTTCATGATTCTCAGTTAACTGCTTTTCCCAGATTTCCCCTCAGGGCTTCACATGAACAGTTTCAAATACCGACTGAGATTTCTGGAGATGAGAGATGCTTACTAGAAAAAATACAAGTAGATGTTGATGAGCTAAATGAAATTGAGAGGAAAACACGGGAACAGTCAACTTGCCAAGAATGGAAGGATGAAAGAAAATTTAGGTTCACTGCCTCAAATTTTGGCCTTATCAGGGAAAGGAAACGAAACCATGAGACCCTAGTAAAAAATCTACTTAACCCCAAACCTTTTTCTTCAAGGTATACAAATCATGGTCTCAAATATGAGCCAGTCGCCCTTGAACAGTACCAGAAGTACATGATGTCAATTCGAAGGCCTGTTAAGATACTTAAGTCAGGACTTGTTATCAGCCTAGATTCCCCCTACTTGGGTGCTTCACCTGATGCTAAGGTAATTGATCCAGGATGCGATGATCCCTTTGGGCTTTCTGAAGTCAAGTGCCCAGAGACAAAATATCTGGTTACTCCCTTGGATGCCTGTTCTGATAGTAATTTTTTCATGGAAGAAGAATATTTTTTAGGGTTAATAGGCGTGCACGAATTTTTTTCCATTTCATTTCCCCTTGCGCGAAGATTTTTTTTGTACTTCGCCCGCCCCCGCTCATAAGTTTTCTAATCCGTCCCTAAGTGACCAGCAATAAACTTCCTACTACCGCGATTCTTCACCGTTTGGTCCAATCCACAGGAGTGAACGTCTTCCCACAGTGCATTGCGATTGTGTTTCTTCCAAGATGGCGGAGTTTTCCTTCGCACATGGTGTTTTTACGGAGTTTTTGTGTGACATTTTTACTGGGTTAGAATCCTAACTAGAGGTAAGTAAGACCACTCATACATTCTTTGTCTTTTTATCTTTTCATAAAAGGAAGCTTTACGAGAGTATTTTTTTAAAAACGTATATTTTTTCGTATTTGAATTGTGATATCCTGATCTGTCATCGTTCACTGTCAAGGAAAGGTTCCGAAAACATGTTTGTAGTTTCTTTTCTAGTGCGGCATTGTTTGATTAAGTCCGACATTTAAGTAATTCAGAGGTTTATTTTCCTATTTTTACTAAAGTGACTCAAAGTGACCCAGGAATTTAAACATTTGGAAAGCCGGGAAATCGGTCAACTTTGGCGGTTTTGTGATAAGTGTTTTGAGTCTTACAGAATGCTGGGAAACGTGGCATCACTCAGGAAATACGGAGACTCTGAAAGAAGGACTTTTTTGTTAATGATTCCGATTTTTTAGGAAAATGGCTTAATCCGAACACTGTTAGGTATCTCTCTCTCTCTCTCTCTCTCTCATTTTTGCCTCGTTGTAAGAGACCTCTGCTAGCAGGGAATATGGAGTGATGAGAAGGTAGACTTAATTAAGCTTAGAAATTGTGAAAACTTCTCACATTCCCATGCGTTACCCATGCCAAATCTTCAATCATTTCAATTTCATTTGCACCATAAGGCAGGGTAGCCAATACCAAAGAAATAACAAGGTGATTAAAATTAACGCTGTGGCTATATGGCCGGTGACCGGTCAAGGTGTTCAAAATGCTAAATGACCGGCAGTCCCATATTCCATAAATTTCACAAAATCGAAAGAGTCTAGCTAATCTAAACTATCATATGTCGATTAAGACAAGTCGAGCGATCCTGAAATGCTTTATAGATCTTTTTTTTTCTTTATAGAAGTCTAGTGTTTGGTTTACGCTGGGCTCAGAAGACGAAACCGTGTTTTGTGACACTTGGAACTTTTTTCAGCTTGACTGCCGGTCAAGGTTTTCAAAACACTAAATGGCCGGCAGTCCCATATTCTCAGTAAATTTCACAAATCGAAAAAATTCAGCCGTTCTGAACTATCATAAGTAGTGATCCTGATCAAACCTGCCGGTTTTGTGGGATTTCTATATCATGTTTTTGTTGGTCTCGAGTCATTACTATTTTCTGTCCAAAGCATGGCGTGACAGGCGACGTTTGACGTCACAACATCTTGACCTTTCATGCGGCCTCCACGGAAAACCGGCGGGAAAAGTCTCTACGCGTTAGTTCCCTTCTGGAGCTGAAATACACTTCAACATTATCTTGTCGACGTTATGATGAAATGTCACGAAAAATCTTGATATATTACTTTGAATTGCAATGCATTGTGGGAAGACGTTCGCTCCTCCTCTGGTTATTCGATAAAGCGTCACATTTTTAAACAAGATTTTTATACTAAGGCGCAGGCCATAGAGTAATTAGAGCAGAGATTACAATTTAACACATGCCAGAGATTTGCATTCTCTGTTCTTTGCCAGTATTAAAATGTAGCGTAGTTCCATATTGTATCGAATGTGTTAAAGGTCGCAGAACTCAAAAAGAATCGAACGAACGTTGTTAGATAAAAGCATTGACTCAAAAGATCTGTCTCAAAACCATGATTTATTATGTAAGACCCGCAGTCTGTGAACACACAGCATACTACTCATCGTAAAGGAGAGATGGATGCCAAAGCAAATTGCAATAATTGATCTTCGAGGCTTTGTATGTGCAGATTCAAATAATTTTTTGGCGCAAGCCCCAAAATGAGGCCCGAGGGGCTGAAAAAAAGACCGGGCCCCCCCCCCTATCTCAGGGTCTGGATGACCGCTCCCCCCCTTATCTGAAGGTCTGGATAAACCACTGTAATATGGAATCTTGTATATTCAACACATTATAGTTAAAAATTTAACCAAAACAATGGAAATGAAGATTGACTTTTTCTTTATATCGAAGTAGTGAGACATTTTGATTTGACCTCTGATCGAAAAAAGCCAGCATTGCATTCTTGAGATGATTGTCAGGGTCACAGGGTCCAGAGGAGATCTAATTGTCGTTAGAACATCAAAACCCGTTGAAAACCTCTGAAAAATGGGTTATTTTTATATATTGTGCCTCGCTCGGGCGACGGTAATTGGTCACCCTTTCGGCGACCTGCCAGGCGCCAGCGGGGATATAGCTTGCGGTTATTGATTTTTTATCTGGGTCAGATAAGAAGCAAAGAAACTGTTTGCAGTAGATTCATAAAGATCACATTGGGCTAATTAATCGTGCTAACCGACAGGTATAGACACATTTGAGGGTGAGACTTTAAATAAGTAATCCATGTATTCACACGAAACTCCTTCCAGGTTAGGAGGGCGCACTTGGACCGATAGATACGCCCTTTAAGCCAATGTGCCATCTGCACTCCGAACCTAGTATATGATGTCAGCTGCGACAAGTTGCCAACTGGTGCATTAACCTTTTAGGTAATTATGTAACATTATTCTTAATTGTTATACTCATTCAACTCTGTGTGCAGGGATAGAAAAGAACAACTCACTTGATCGATGTCAGCTGCATAAGTATACCACACTTTGAAATTATGGCCCTTTATTTATGACTGCGTGAGAATTATGCTTGGTTAGTCTTTGGTGTCCAAAACGAACCTGCATGTTAGAGGACAGTAACAAAATTAAATTATTAGATAATTCAGCTCTTAAACTCAGTAAAAATCATGGATTATTGGTTATACCTTTAATGGGGTTGAATTAAATAGGGGAAAAGGAAATTCAAAAACCTGATTGACTGACGCAGTTGGCCAATTTTTAAAACTCTTGCTACTAAAAAGAAGTTTCTTGTGACCGAGTGGACACCCGACCTATCAGTGTGGTCAGTTTCAGGGAAGGAGAGTAATTTTTGATCAGACTACAATTACCCTTATTTTTAAAGGATGTTTTTTGAAAGGGATCTTAGTGATTTTATTTGAATCTATAGAGTGTCCATACATTTAAATCTTTCAGAGCTTTTAATTTTTAGCGTCTGACTTAAAAGTCTATGTAGTTGAAAAAAGTTTGTTAGCCTTTTATCCATTGCACATTTATAATAGTCCTTACAGTGTTAATTGATTGTTTACTTGCCCTGAGGTGGGGGCACCCATTTAATCCAAAACAGCTAACTCAGCTTGTTTAATATTTGACATGGTATTCCTACTGCAGAAGGTGCATCAGATTTGATATATAGAGGATATTACACGGTGGCGAGAAGATATGAATTTTATGTTCGAGTGGCAAGAACAATATCTCACGAGTGAGCGAAGCGAACAAGTGAGATATTGTTTTTGCCACGAGAACATAAAATTCATATCTTCGAGCCAACGTGTAATGTTCTTTTCATTATATGAAGAAACCATTTCAACAAAAGCAAAAGGCGCGAATCAAGACGTCATTGAACGATACGACACTCACAAAGGTGACATACGGAAAATACGCCACTTGGGTCCCGGATGAAGTGGCGTATGGAATCTACGAGTGGTTTAGTTCCCAGTAAAACACTCTCCTCCATATAATAAAACTTGTTACTACATGCAATAAGCTGCACCCTATAGCTGACAGACACGTCATTCTCTGTTTTATTTTGTCAGTCAGCCTATCAAGTCCATCCGTTCTTAGGAAGGATTTGGACTGCCCAGGATAAGAGGGGGTGAGAAACTTGCACTGATAAATACGCCTTGGAAGCCAAAGTGTCATCTGCACTCCGAACCTAGTACATCATGTTAGCTGCGACCAGTCGTTAACTCGTGCATTGACCTTCCAGGTAATTATGTAAGATTATTCCTAATTGTTATATTTAATGAACTCTTGTGTCCAGGGATAGAAAAGAACAAGTCGCTTGTTGAATGTCAACTACATGAGTATGGAGTATACTATACTTTGAAATTGCCCTTTAGAAGTGTCTGAGAATTATGCTTTGTCAGTCTTTGTAGGCCAAAACGAACCTGCATGTTAGAGGACAGTAACAAAATTAAATTATTAGATAATTTAGCTCTTAAACTCAGTAAAAATCATGGATTATTGCTTATAACTTTTATGGGGTTAATTTAAATAGGGAAAAAGGAAATTAAAAAACCTGATTGACTGACTCAGTTGGCCAATTTTTAAAACTCTTGCTACTAAAAAGAAGTTTCTTGTGACAGAGTGGACACCCAGCCTATAAGTGTGGATCAGTTTCAGGCAAGGAGAGTAATTTTTGATCAGACTACATTTATACCTTATTTTTAAAGGATGTTTTTTGAAAGGGATCTTAGTGATTTTATGTGAATCTATAGTGTCCATACATTTAAATCTTTGAGAGCTTTTAATTTTTAGTGTCTGACTTAAAAGTCTATGTAGTTGAAAAGAGTTTGTTAGCCTTTTATCCATAGCACGTTAATAATAATTGTTACAGTGTTAATTGATTGTTTAGTTGCCCTGAGGTGGGGGCACCCATTTAATCCATAACAGCTAACTCACCAGTCCTAGTTTAATATTTGACCTGGTATTCCTACTGCATAAGATGCATCAGATTTGATATAACTCGTTACTACGTACAATAAGCTGCTTCCTATAGCTGACAGACACTTCATTCTCTGTTTTATTTTGTCATTCAGCCTATCAAGTCCATTCGTTCTTAGGAGG